AAAAGAATTAAGGTTAAGTTCTACTTTTCTGTCTGCATCTTTCCATGCTATCATGGCAGAGTCCAAAAGGCGTGGGGTAGGCTGCGTATAGGAGCAAAATACACAGAGCACAAATCAGACTATGGTGTTCAAAGATGGTGTAAAGTTTCCACATGCACCGCCTTGGAATCTGGTTCTGCTTTTTGCATGTCTTCCCCAATGTGCTTCATTAGAGCAGTCTAATAGGTACTATTATAAGCACTGGAGGCATACCTGGGTGGTCGACAAACCTAATAGGTACTATTATAAGCACTGGCATGTCACAGTCACAAGTGGAAGTAAAGGGTCAGTGTGGCACCATTACATCCCAACCCTCTTTTTCTCTCTTGTGCGTGTTGCAGGGAGGGTGGATGGAGGACAAACCTTGATGATGGCTCTGCCATTAGAATCACTCAACTGGCATGACACTCACTGTGCTGGTCAGAAAGGTTTTGCAGCTCCAAAAAGCCAGCAGTACAGTGCAAAGCAGCCACTCTGCACCTGAGGATACCAACCATTATGTTGTGCATTAAAAAAGCTGGATTTTGTATATCTCCTTAGAGATCCCATTTCTAGCTGAAATCAGGTGTGTTGCAGAAGGGATATCTTATCTCTAAGGGTACGTCTAGACTACATGCCTCTGTCACCAGAGGCATGTAGATTAGGCTACCCAACACAGTAAAATGAAGCGGCGATTTAAATAATCGCCGTTTCATTTAAATTTACATGGCTGCCGCGCTGAGCCGACAAACAGCTGATCAGCTGTTTGTGGAATGAGGTATACCTGGGTGGTCGTGAAGCGGCGATTATTTAAATCGCCGCTTCATTTTACTGTGTCGGGTAGCCTAATCTACATGCCTCTGGCAACAGTGAGGAAAAGAGAACCTCTGTTTTCCTTGCCCTTTACCTGCTGCCTTGTCAAAAAGAACTAACGATGGCATCCAAGGAGGCTGTATATCTCTCTAGGGGTATGTCTACACTACCACCCTAGTTCGAACTAGGGTGGTTAATGTAGGCATTTGAAGTTGCAAATGAAGCCCGGGATTTAAATATCCCGGGCTTCATTTGCATCTTGCCGGGCACCGTCATTTTTAAATCCCCGGTAGTTCGGACTCCGTGCCTGCGGCTACTCGCCGCCTACACGTGGCACGGAGTAGGTAGTTCGAATTAGGCTTTCTAATTTGAACTACCGTTACTCCTTGTACTCCTTGCAACTTCGAATGCCTACATTAACCACCCTAGTTCGAACTAGGGTGGTAGTGTAGACATACTCTAATAGAGTAGTGCTTTCCTGCTACTGTCTAGAAGGGAAGATGATGAAGGGCTCCCTGCACACCTTTCAAAAACAGCAAGTAATGAAAAAAAATTGATTTAAAAACCTAGGCAATGTGGACACATGCTGGAGGGTGTTCCCAAACAGTACCAAAGCCCCACCTTTAACACACAAGGGCAGATTCTCTCCTGCACCAGTGCACTCCTCTGAAGGAGGAAAAGGGCATCTGGTAGTTGTGACGGACTGTGGTCACAGAAGACCAAGATAGTTCCATTGAAATCAGTGGGATTGCTTCCATGCTTAAAATTAGATACACTAACACCTGCAGGAAAGACAACATTTCTTATTATTGAATTAATAAAGATTCATTTGTAAACAGCTTTTTAAATGTGAAATGAAAATGTTGCATTTGTTGTTGCACAGAATTAGGTTATATTCAGAGGAAACCACATACCTGTCCAAACTCATTACTGTCATAATAGCGCTGCATGCAAACTGGTTGGACGTGTCTAATGATGTAATGATGGTACACAGAGGGCTGCCAAATACCCACTCTCCTCCTCGTGCCCACTGATGAATGAGAAAGGGCATGCCAATGATATGGACCAAATCTGCTACAGCCAGATTGCAGATATAAATATCTGGAATTGTTTTTTTTCTAGACCTGAAATAAATGGGGAAAACAGATTACTTGACATAGTTGATATCAATGTTTCTGAGCTAATGCTGTTTAGTTTTTAATGCTCACCTGGGTAACCCGAACTTCCCTTTGAAAAATTGTTTAAAGTTTAAAAAGGCTTTTGGCTTGATTCTCCACTCACAACAGTGACACTATACTTGATGAAGCTGCATAAGGGTAAAGCTGGTAAAGGATAAGTGAGTCTATGTCTACACAGCAGCATTATTTTGGAAAAAACTAATCTTATTAGTAATAATGTCAATTATTCCTAAATAACATAGTCCACGTCTACACACAAGCAGTTATTTCAACAACGTGTCAAAATAACATTGAGCTAGAAGACTGCTTACTCCGACTCCTGTAATCCTCATTGTACGAGGAATAAGGGAAGTCAGGGGAAGAGTGCTGTATCTCAAAATAACTGCTGTGTAGACAGCACCAAAAGTCAAACTAAGTTATTTTGACTTAAGCTACGCAATTAGCATAACTCAAGTTGCATAGCTTATTTCGAGTTTAGTCCTGCTGTGTAGACAAGCTCTGAAGGGCGAAACTCAGGCCCTGTGATCTAGGGATTAGATGATGCAACAAACAAAGGGCAAGATTTATAAAGAGGCAATTTGGAACCCCACTGGGCACCTCTCTGCAGCTTTCAGCATCTTTACAAAGCACTCATCTGCTACCTCTGATGGTCTGGGTTTTAGTCACAGTTTAGGTCACAAGTGAAAAAAGGTTTTCAGTTGCCCCCTCAAAAGTTGTCTATGTTTGAAACAAATAGCAGAGTTACACTTGCTGAACATATCTCCTCAGATGAAGAAAAGTGCATATCTGGCAACGAGAGGAAATTCATTTGCTAACAGAGCTGAAATGGAGTGTGGGACATGGCAGAATTTGGTTAAGTTGGCTTACCTAAAAGAGAGGGAAGAAATATTAGGGAAGAGAAGGGAAGAGAGGGCAGTGCATTTTGGTACTTTCAGTTAAAACAGTGTTTATTTTGATCAGATGCCCTCATAATGCCTCAACTGCTCATTAATACAAATACATCCTTTCATTTCCCATTATATAAGAAGATAATACCAGCCATACTAGGTCAGGCCATGATCTTATCTTCTGACAGTGGCCAGTGCTATAGGGAATGAGTAGAAGAAGTAAATCATCCCATCAGCCACTCTCAGCTTCTGGTAAACATAGGCTGGGGACACTTCAGATCACAGTTTTTCATTCTTGCTTTTGTTGGCTAATAGCTATTGAAGGGCCTACTGTCTATGAATTTATTGAGTTTTTTTTTAACCCTGTTACATTATTTTTTTAAACCCTGTCACAAAATCCTCAGTCAAGGACTTCCATAGGTTTACTGTGTGTTGATAGGTAACCTTCCTTTTCTTTGCTTAAAACCCACTCCCGCTCCCTATTAATTGCGTTTGGTGACCCTCTACTTCTTGTATTATTAGAAGAAGTGAGCAACATTTCCTTATTTACTTTCTTCACCCAGTCATGATTGTATAAACCTCTATCATATCCACTCATAATTCTCTCTTTTCCAAGATGAAAAGTCCCAGTCTTATTGATCTCTCCTCATATGGAAGCTGTTCCATATCCCTGATCATTTTTGTTGCTCTTTCATGTACTTTATCTTCTTCTATTTTAAATAGCAAAGATGGCTCTGGTCATTCCCAGAAGGATTATCAGATAATTTCTTTATCTTCATTGGTAGCTTCTTAATTCTCTGCATGGTGACATATGTTCGCATTTTTTAATATATTACACACACACGCACACTATGTTTTATCAGGTCATTATTAAGGTTGCAAATCAAGCACTCAAACATTGCAAAATACCAGAATTAAGATTACCTATATAAACTTAATTTGCTCTCTCCATGCAAAAATCTTATGATACAGTCTATCGCCTACTACTTTTTCCACAATATTGCTGCTTGGAGGAGTGAGTCAGGGTTGTGTATTGAAGGGGGCTGTGGTCTGTAGGACCTCACCTCATTTATTACAGAAGCTGTTAAGTGAATGAGTCAGATAGGAGATTGGAAGAAGAGAAAAGATTGTTTCCTGGATAAGGCAGCTGAATGCCATCCTGGATAATTGGATTCTATTTCAGTCTCTGCCACAGAGCTCTTATGTAATATGGGGCAAGTTACTTAAACCAAACTCTTCACAGCTGGTTCACTGTGTGTTCCTCTTTTCTGCATGTCCAAGCCAAGTCAATAAGAGCATAAGAACGGCCATACTGGGTCAGATCAAAAGTCCATCTATCCCAGTAGCCTGTCTGCCAACAGTGGCCAGCACCCGGTGCCCCAGAGAGGGTGGACTGAAGACAACGATCAAGCGATTTGTCTCCTGGCATCCCTCTCCAGCTTCTGACAAACAGAGGGCAGGGACACCATTTCTATCCCCTGGCTAACAGCCTTTTATGGACCTAACCTCCATGAAATTATCTAGCTTCTCTTTAAACTCTGCTATAGTCCTAGCCTTCACAGCCTCCTCTGGCAAGGAGTTCCACAGATTGACTACACGCTGTGTGAAGAAGAACTTTCTTTTATTAGTTTTAAACCTGCTACCCATTAATTTCATTTGGTGTCCTCTAGTTCTTCTATTTTGGGAACTAATAAATAACTTTTCTTTATCCGCTCTCTCCACACCACTCATGATTTTATATACCTCTATCATATCCCCGCCTCAGTTTCCTCTTTTCTAAACTGAAAAATCCCAGTCGCTTTAACCTCTCTTCATATGGGACCCGTTCCAAACCCCCAGTCATTTTAGTTGCCCTTTTCTGAACCCTTTCCAAGGCCAAAATATCTTTTTTGAGATGAGGAGACCACATCTGTACACAGTATTCAATACTCTGGGGTCTGATTTGAAGAAGGGCTAAGAGCTCTCAAATGCAAGTGAAATAAATGGAAGCTGCTCTTGAATATATAAAGTGCTAGATAGTGTAGCGAGAAGCTGGAGAAATTAGGTGTCTCAAGTTTGGCACCTAAACGTTTGTTCTTAATCTCTGTGCCTTTGGTACCTGTCTATAAAATGGGGATACAGTAATACCACCCTTAATCTGACAGGATTGTTGTGAAGATAAATCAATTAACATTTTATAGTGAAGAATTCAGCACCTAGTACAATGAAGTTCTAGCCCATGCGTGAGAGTATAGGTGGTACGATATAATAATAAAAGCCTCTGAAAAAAATAATTTTGTCCTTAGGTTTGAATAGTGTGAAGTAAAGAAAATCTGGGGCTACATACTGAACAATCCAAAAAAACCAAAATATTGAAGAGCTGCTCATTCAGTGAGCACTGTCCAGCCTATACATGGAAGGAGGCTGGGGCTTTGCAAAAAAAAAAAAAAAAAAAAATGTAATTAAAGAAGGTATCATAATTCATATGCATAAAGGGGCTGGATTAAGATTGCACAGGTAGCCTTAATTCTGGCATTCTCTAACTTGTGAGTGCTTGACTTTGCAAATGTAATTAGGTTCCTATCGCACAGAAAATTACTTAATCTCTCAGAGGAGCTTTGCTGATTTAAACCAGACAAGGATCCAGTCCTTTATAAACATGAAGCCTATAGCTCAGCACACTCCTCAGTTGTAGGGTGGGGAGTGAGAGGGAGTGAGGGAGAAGTGTGTGAAGATGGGCTGTGCATGTGTAACTAATAGGCTCTCTGGCTTCAGACGGCCATATTGGTGCATAAACAAACAAGTAAACTGAGACAAAATGCAGGACAATGTAGCACTTTAAAGACTAACAAGATGGTTTATTAGATGATGAGCTTTCGTGGGCCAGACCCACTTCCTCAGATCAAATAGTGGAAGAAAATAGTCACAACCATATAAACCAAAGGATACAATTTAAAAGAATGAACACATGTGAAAAGGACAAATCATATTTCAGAACAGGAAGGGGATGCGGGGGAAGGAAGGAAGGTAAGTGTCTGTGAATTGATGATATTAGAGGTGGGGAGAGTGGGATGTTTGTGAGTTAATAGTATTAGAAACTGAGAAGCACTCAGACAGAAAATTATCTTTCCAAAATACATACATTTATGAGATATATTTTAAGTAAAAAACCCTCTGGAAGGATTACAGGGCACTTAGGCCCCAGATCAAAGCCCTGAAGTACACGTTTAACTTTAAGCATATAAGCAGTCTGACTGTAGCTGACATGAATAGTCCTAGTAGATTATTTACATGCGTACAGTTAAGCATCTGTTAAAGTGATTTGTAACATCAAGGATCTATTCTGAGTATTTATCTTCTCAACAAAAATGTAGACAACATAATACTGGCTCAAAATGTTTTCTCAAAGCAGTGGGTGACGATAGTATTTCTTTTCAGTTTACTTTCTAGTCGAGGGTAGAGGCTTATTTTTGTCAATCTCACTGAAAGACACAAAAGGTGAGAAGGGATTTCTGCAGGCAAGAAAATTCCATTCCCACTTGTGCATACCTCAGTCAGCACACTGCCCACTATTGGCACTTCACAAATAACAGCTACACAAACTGGTCCCAAGTTTCTTATTATTTGTACTGCAGCCACCATATTCTAGAATATCAAATAACTGTATTTACAAAGACACAAATTATAGCTCAATGGAACCAGCTAGATGTAAATGGTTGTTTCACACATCTCTAATAAGCAATGAAGTATGTTCCTACCTCATTGAGTTGTGATGTTGACGAACCAGAGGTACAGAGCTATAATTTTTTTGCTGGCACTGATAATAGGAGCACGCAGGTAGATGCTTGTTTGCTTTTGTTTGTTTGCTCGTTCTTCCATGTACAGGCAGTCCCCGGGTTACGTACAAGATAGGGCCTGTAGGTTTGTTCTTAAGATGAATTTGTATGTAAGTCGGAACTGGTACATATTGTAGGGGAAACTCTAGCCAAACATTTCTCCAGAGCTCAGTTTTATTCTCCCACACCTCACTTCCCTCAGTCCTTTATTCTCAAGCTGAAGTGTCTGCTGAGAAAAGCCGCT